CATTAATGAAATTTAGATAGGAAGAAAGTTTCTTCAAAATTGGGATTTCTGCATGATATCTGCCAAGGATGAGAGTTCTTTAATGTGTAGTCAATAAAAGAAATCATGCACGTGGTCTAGGAGAATTTCACTTTAAAAAATCGGATTTGTTCCAGACTCTAAATGCCTGCTTATTCCTGAAAATGACTGAACTATATCTACTGGTTTCAGTAATGCTGAGTTATTATCATTAAATCCACTATTTGATACTTTTCTAAATATGATCAAGATGTATGCAATTAAATGTGGTCCGCAATGCTGAAATCTTAGTAGATCATGGAGGATAAGAAAGAAAACCACCATCTTGAGCTCAAGACAACTGAAATATTGATGACTTTCCCCTCAAATGTTAATAGGCAGTGGTAGGGTAGAAGGGCAGGAAGTTTTTAAACCACTGACTGGTCCATTATCCTGCTAAATGTCCATCTTGAACTTAAATTTATTAATGGTTTATATATATATTGTCTGATTACAATTTATGTTTCAAAAATTCCAACTATATGTTGCTGGCAGAAGCCCACAGGCCTGTTTTCAGTAAATAGCTAGCTGCATGTTGGAGGCTTTTTAAACCTATAAATGTCTTTTTTCCAGTAGACTAGCAATTTAATTTGATGGTAGGTCCTGCCTCCTCCATAAATATCCCAGTTTTAGAATGTAGCATTTCCTATCTGTAGTAATAGGAGGTCCCTTAACTATCACGATAGCCATAGATTTGATTTGTTGCATACATTAGGTAGTACAGTTGGCAAATATTAGTCGCTTTCTGTTATGTGTGCTAGCACCTTCAGTTCACAAGGGGGTAAGAGGAATCTAGTTGCTTTGAAATACCTTTTGATTACCTGGAATAATCTGAGTTGTTCATTCAGAAAGCATAGAAAAGTCAACTGCATCAAGGTTTTAAAAGCAGCATTTATTGATTGAAAACAAATGTGTAGATAAGCTCACAACAGCATGGAATCCATGTTATTTAATGAAGTACATGAAGGCTCCTTAGATCTTCCACCATGTATCTTGTGTGTGCTTGTAACAACCACCATATTCAAATGGAGGGGAATTTTCAATATTTTACTGAAAAAAAATTAGAAATTCTTTCTTCAGCAGCTCTCCATAGTTTGACAAACTTTTGGAAAGAGATAAAAACACACTCCAGTATTTGTACGTTGAACGTTTATTACAACTAATTGGCGAAGTGATAAGACAGTGCTCACGTGGCCTGAATATTGGTCACAATCACAACAAAGCTTAATCCAGCCCAGCATATACAAGTGAAAGTATAAACCATGAAGACATGTTTAGATATGTATAAGTACTTAGAAAAGTGACGCTGAACAATTATATAGCTTTAAAAAATATAGGGCCAACTAATGCCATTTTACCTCATTCAACTCTCATTTTATATGAAACATGTCTTTTTAAATTTTTATAAGACTTCTGTTAACTAGGCAGTGCCATGGAAAGAAAGGAAGCTTTTGTAAAGTTTGCAGCACTTCTAAGTGGAGAGAAGCAAATAGGGAAGCAAAATAAATTTGGCGTTAACAAGCATCCCAGAAGGAACATTCATGCTTTGAACAATGACTTTACACATAACACTGTGAAGAGAGCAACATGTTTTCTGTAAGATACTGTTATGAAGAATTCCTGGCAAATTAACATTCTCACTTTATTTTGGGCATCAAAAACTACGCATGTCATTATGACCACAAAAAAATTCATCTCAGGAGTCAAATGTGCCTTGGCCTTAAAAATTATGTGCTTACTATTATGAAACAATCCTGTTTCTCATCCCAGATTCAGAATGCCTAAGAAATAATTTTTAAAGTATCATTCCAATTAAGTCATTAAAAATAATTCCCTTTATTTTTGAAAATATTCCCTTTTATTTTTGAAAGGTATGTAATTTCCAATAGGAGTCTTTGGAGTAAATTTGCTTTTTAAAGTTTCAACAAAGTTAAGTCTCCATTCATTTGATATGCGACATGTAATTCCCTTTTTTTTATATATACCGAAATGCTGCACTAATCTTTGGTTTCATAAAACCAGGTTTCACATTATAATTTAAGTTTCCTTTGTCAAATACAGTAATTAATAAATGTATACTGCCTGATTTTACATGTATATGTGCCATTTTCATATGTGCACATAATCAGATTAAGAGAAACTGACCTTTAAACTTTAAAATATCCAGAAAAGGTATCTTTTTCTGCTACCATTCTAATTCATATTTAAGTCCCTTATCACTTAACTAAAGTTCCCTTTAAAAAAAAATGTGTAGGCATGAATGAAGCAGCTTAGCAAAACAGTAACACTGACAAGACATCATCTTATACCATTAGCTAACATGGACATGAAGGGAGTGACCATCTACAGTGTGTAAAATGCCACAAGAAGTCATCAACAAGGGAGGAGAGTTATGTCAGTCCAATTTCTTCAAGAACACTACGTGGGGTTTCAGCTTCCTGTGGAGGGAAAATGTGAGACTCTGGTAAGCAGATCCAGGGAGTCTTGAGAATGTGAAAAACTGACATGGAGAACATGCTTGTTTTAGAGAATCAAGAAAGCAATTTCGCGTCACAGTAGTATTCTAATAGTGGCAGCCAGTGGTTAGTTGGAGTTTTGTGCCCCAAACATTGGAGACCACTAAAGGACCGTTTCAGCATTCATTAAGTCCCTGCTAATTACGTACCAACATGTTTCAGCATTCATTAAATACCTGCTAATTACCTACCAACATGCTGGATGCCGTTGCTGTAAGGCAAAAAGCACTCAAGCCCAGTGCAAGCCTGCTGGCAAATTATGAAATCACTGCTACTCAATTATATCTATGAAAGGTAAGTTATCTTCATGGTAAAATTCAAAACCTCTTCCCTCTGTGTTCCCACAATTCTTCACCTAATGTTGTGTTCCATGCTTTCTGTCACATGCATTTATAGAAATGTCTTCCTCTTGGAGATTTTAGTTAACTGTGTCCACAGCAGCAAGTGTTCAGAAACAGCTATCTTCCCAGACCTCCCCAGGGCAACCAATGGCATCACTAGAGGCCACATACAGAAAGAATACCCTGGGACAAAGGCATTTTTGTTCTGTGTAGCAACCAATACTGGTTTTTAAATGTCAAAGGAGGTCAAAACAAACCAGGCATATCCAGAAAAAAATTAGTTAAAAATTTTCCAAAGTGGCTGATTTTGCAAATCACAAAATAAAGGACCAAGGAGGCCAACTTTCAGGTATTACTAGCAACGAATTTTGTAATTAAAAGGCAACATTGTCTTTTAATGAGGGAAAATAATATAAATTTCTGGTATCCAGTAATAAACTTACTTTTGCATCCTAATCATGGTACAGCACAAAACAAGGAGAAGAGAAATTATATTAAACCATAAATCTTTAGAATATTAATTGCATGTAAAGCACTTCATGGTGTAATCTTAGGTAAATTAAACTCTATGGTCTGTTTCTTTATTTGGAAAATATGGGTAACAGTACTTACCTTCATATGTTGAGATTAAGTGAATTAAGGTTCTGCCTAATTTATAGAAAGTGCTCCAAAAATGTTAGGTGATACAGTTACACACTTGAAATCTAAATGAAGGTATTTAGCCTTTAGTACTAAATGCAAGTACTATAAACCAATTCTATTTATAAAGCTCATGACCTTTTAGTATGTCTGTGTAGTAATGAAAAATGGGTTAAAAATTAGCTTTAGTGAAAAAAGGTATTTTTTAAAACAAGAGTCTAACCTATGAAGTATTCTTGCCCCCTCAAATTGAACCTCAATCTAATCAGGTTACAGATCTAAAAGAGATGAGGGATAAAAGAACAAGCTAAATATTCCCACATGAATACGATGGCCAAATCCATAGGGTAGGACGTTCTGCAGCATAAATAACCTGGTTTAAAAAAGATGACAAGGGGGGAAAAAAGCAGAAGACTTGTTAAAGATTAAGAGACTTAAAAGACACATCAACCAGATACAATGTGAGAGTCTTGGTTGGAAACTGATTCTAACAAATCAAATATAAAAAGGCATTTTTTAGACAATTAGGAAAAACTGAGCCAGGCACAAGATATTAATTATTAATTGCTGTTAATTTTGTTGGGTGTGGTACACATCTGTTAGGGACACATACTGAAGTATTAAAGACAATGACAATGTCTAGGGCTTGCTCTAAAATACTGAGGCAAAAATGGGGGGAGTGTTTGGGGAAACTATTTGACATCTAAATCACATAAATATTAAAGAAAAATTTAAAATAATTATTTCCATGTAATGTTAAATAGTTTAAAAGTTCATGTGGCCTTTAATGTATTAAAAGATGCCTACATTGAATTCTACACAGTTTACATTCTCAGCTTATCCATGTAAAAATGTCCCACAACTACTGCTTGGAGCTGGTCAGACTTTTCCCCATGTGCTCACTGACTGCAATCTTATATAGCATTTCCTGAAGAGAATCATGCTGCTTATCAAACATGCATTATTGAAAATATCTGTCCTTTCTAAAAGGCCTAGTTTCAAAGATTTACAGATTTTATTCTTGTGAGACTTGTACAGATAGAGTTTAAAAATAAAATGTGTTGATAATATAAAATGGAACTTTCATATGTTCACACTGAAACTGTAGCTCAAAATTAGCCAGAAAAGCTATTATCTAAAGTAGTAAAATTTGTAGAAACAAAAAGTCAAATGGTGGTTACCAGGGGCTGGGGGAGAGGGAGAAATGGGGAATTGTTGATTAATAGGTATAGACTTTCAGTTTTGCAAGACAAAAAAGTTCTGGAGATCTGCTGCACAACAATGTGAATATACTTAACACAACTGAACTGTATACTTAAAACTGCATAAGATGGTGAATTCTGTGTTATGTGTTTTTAACCACAATTTTTAAAATTTGCCTGGAAAAATGAAAATATAACAAGTTATGAGGGATGGAGAAGAAAAAAGTCATTCACAAGAGACGAAGTACATGCAATACTTTTATTTTAGACATGCAAGGAAAGCTATTTCAGAATCTACTAATTTAAAGCAAGCAGCTGTATACAGATAGCAAAAGAAGCAACATTTTGTTACAGCTTAGCACAAGGCATCCAACACAAACAGGCATGAGACAATGCATATTTATGTAGCATTAAAACCAGATGAATAACATATTGTGGGGCAGGAGGAGGAATGGAGGGGAAAAATGGAAATGAAAGACCAATGTGTTTCAATGCTTCCAATGTATGGTGCTAAATTTCCCATTTGATAGCACATCCAGGTGCTTCAAATGCAGTGCATTACAGTGAGAATGTTAAGAATGGAAAATCTTGTCTGTATACCTGCCTAATGCTAAATGTGGTCAAAATACATTTTCATACATCTTCTTTCAGTGGTAAATCAGTTTGAACATCTTGTGAAGTTATTGTTTAATAACTTACTTAACTCAGGCTTTACGCTCTCTAGATATAAACAATGAATTGTTTTCCTTTTGTAATAAAATATGCTGTGTGTTTTATTAAAAGAATATGCAATAGTTACCAATATTAAAGGTTTTAAAATTCAGAAATATAATGCCACAGTTAACAAAGCATTAAGTAAAGAAGGACTTAATATATTAGAATGCCATCACTAGTAAAATATAAGTATTTAGGTATTAAAAGTGAATATTACAATTTTTGAACTATATAAACTCAGCATTAATGCTTTGAAAGAGTTATTGTTAAGCAACAGATATTGTAGAACAGACTTTTCAGACATAGCTCTCTAATAAGTTCTTAAAGGGATTGTTTGATATTATATAGCACAAGTGTGATTCAATAAATGTGGCACTACAAAATTTCCTAAGACTGAATGTTTTAACCTTAAATATATAATAGCACAAATTAATTTTAGTTTCTTGTATTATTTTCACATTTACTTTTATGTGATACATTAGAACACATTAGCTCATACAGATTGTAAGATAATCACACAAAATAGTTTCTTTTTTTAACCTCAATATTTGAAGACCAAACCATACTATGTATTACGGTACTGCTCATTTTGACCTAGCACTTCAGCTATATTTTCTTTGGTAAATATTTTAATGATTGTCATGTTTTCCTCTTGTAAGATTAATCATAGGTGGTTCATTAATGATAATATGTATGTGTTTAAGATTTAATATTACTCAAAACACTTCTAGGTCATATTTTATCAAGATGAGATTAAATCCGTTTCAGAGAGGAATGAGCTGTATCAAGATCACATATAGAATGAAAATAAAACAGAAAAGTTTGGAATGTGAACAGGAAAATAATACAATCATAAAAGTACTAGTTCTGAAATATTCTACTATAATTATGCAAGATAATAAATCACCATGCTGAGGATATTTTCTTTCATATGTATATCAGCATTCTATTTCCTCTGTGAAATTCTGCATACTCGATGGGTAGTCATTTAGTACACAGGGACATTAAAATATTCATGACGTGGCTACAAAAGAAATGCATATATTCTTACACACAGTATACAAACTGACAGACACAATCAGATTTCTAGAACATTTAGTTCACAGTAAAGATAACTAAAACTTAAGTTTCTGTTTTTGTTCTTTGGTGTAAGGCTGAATATTTAACTTCTAAACAATGCCCAAGAATTTAAGATTCATTTTTTTCTAACTTTACTATATATAGTGGTCAAAAGGATCACTGACATCCTCCAAAAATTCTACAAAATCCTAAAACACTATATTTACTACTAATACTATGAAAAGATTTTCAGTGTAAGCCATCTGGTCAATAATGAGTTGACCAAAAATTCAATTAGAATATTCCCCTTCCACCAGTGTTTAAATTCATCAGAATTTTATTACATGAACTAAAGAACCTAGAGAAAAATCCTTCCTGATAAAAAGTGGAAAAGTAGTCACTCATCTGGTATTTTAAGTAGCAATGAAGGTTTTTAACAGTTTACTTATAGCTACAAAAGCAAAAAATCCAAAGAATGTGACTAAGACTGAGGATATTACTTTTTAAAAAATCCTCAAGACAGATTTTAACGAATTCTCCAAACAGATTTGAGTGTCTACAGAAGGACTTCTAGGGGCTCCAAGAGTTCTCTGAAATTAGAAACAAAATGATGTACAAATGTTCCTGGGGAGAGGGCACATCACCCTTCAGGCTCTCAAAGGGATTATATCCCCACCAGAAAGCAATTTTAAAATTGCTTATTTGAGTGTCTTTAAAGTATCCTCATTTTAATATTTATTCAAGTTGAAGCTCTGAAATGTTGAACTACAAAATCATGTAAACGGTTTCAAAAAAAATATCTAACAAATCCCTAAACTTACACAACCGTTAAATACAAAAGTATCTGAAGACAAAAGCCAGTTACATTTTAATCCTCAAAGAATTCCTAAATATTTTAAAGAGATAGCTGCCCTTTCCTCCCCACTCAGAATAGATTATAGTGGAATGAAGCAGCAAGTTAAAATCATATTAATAAGAAATTAAACTCCCAACTACTTCATTTTCTTATAGAAGCTCTCATTTTCATAGGGAAATTCTTCTTTATCAATGGCATTAGTGATTCACAGTATTTAATGAATGCTTTTCGTATCAATGAACCTCTGAACCTATTTCCATATTCTGTGTAAAAAATAAATTATAAGCCCCAATAATGGATAATTATCCAAGCAAAATTCCCTATGAAAGTATTAGTTTAATGAAGTAATTGGGACTATCCCTTGGGACTTAATGTAATTTGACTTTTCAGGTAATGCTAAATGTAAATAACAAACTTGACAAAATTGTAATTACAAACTGAATTTATATATCCTACTACATTTTGATGCATGTCAGTACTCCGGCACGTATTCTAGTACGCTTTCTTATACCCAATGAAACTCTTGCTGTGATACATAGTCTCTGTTTTCTGGAGAAAGAACAAGAAAAGTTTAAGTCTGTCAAATAACCTTTTCCTAAATAATACCAACCTGTCAAATAGCCTTTTGCCTAAATAATACCAGTTCTTTGAGGCTTTGTATTATAGTTTTTCATCTTTTTATTTTCTCTCTTAATTTTCTATCATACCATGTAAAAACCAACCATCTAGAGCTCATGCTTATTAAAAGAAAAGAGGTGGTTTCCCAAATAAAATTGAATATGCGACCATTCCTCCCCAGGAGACTTACTATGAACTATACCAACAATCATACAGGAACAATTCTCAACATGACCACCCAGGCATTTCCACCACTTATACTCTGACACACTTTTTACTACTTTTAGGAAAGAAAAGGGTTGATGATAAGCCAAACTATTCTTTACAGCCAATGATCCATATTACTATACTTAAATAAGAAATTAGCATCTATTAGTTGTGAGAATACTCTTCATAGGGAGAAACCCTTCTTCATTGGAAAAACATCCTTCAAGAAGAAAAGAAACTCTAAAATGCACCAAAATAAATGAATTCTTTTTACCATTTTTAAGTCGCTTTAACAATGTTTTAAATAATTTCCCACTTTAGACTACTAGGGTCAGAAAAAGTTCTGTTATAAATGCCTTAAGGACCACTTAACATTTAAGGTAATTTTTTAGCTAAATGATATGCCCATAATTAACCAAAATATTTTCCTCTCAGATACAAAAAAAGTAGATTGAATTACAAACTCCAGCTTATAATTGAATCTCTCTCTTACCACCAGTACCTCTTGTGAGTCACATAAAAATTATATCGATTAGGAATTAGGGAGGGTGAGAGTAAAGTCTATCATAGCACACAAGAGACCCTGTGCAGGCCTAAGCCTACTATCTTGTTCTTCCCCTGGGTACCTGTACGAAACAGTCACATATAATACTTAGCAAACTATCAGTTTCTTAAAACACTAAAACCCCAGTGATTTCAGTTAAGTGAGAATAAAGGCCACAATGAAAACAGTGAGAAAAAAAATTTTTTAATCCAGTTGTATTATACAACTATAAACCACATATTGTCCTTAGTACTGATTCTCTGGAGACCTATTCTTTGAATAAAGATGACAATGTATTATTTCAGCCTGAAACGGACCTTCAGTCTCAGGAACTCTTTTTTACTTCTCACTAATTTGCTCCTCACTAAGTCTACTGCCAACTCCTCACACTGTCCTCAAGCTATATACACTCCTCCCCTTCTCTCCAGTCCCAACGATTCTCCTTTAGATGATGTGATTTCTCAAGACTAAGAAAATGACATTTTCTCAATTTTGCTCATCTTACTGATGAATTAAAGAAAAAAAAAGTCTACAGCTTTACCCATTATCACCTCATAACCAAGGAGAAAGACTTCTCATTCAAGACCAATGTTTTTGATTCCACTCCCATTTTCCCTTCCAATATACTTTTTTTTTTTTTTCGAGACGGAGTCTCACTCTGTCGCCCAGGCTAGAGTGCAGTGGTGCGATCTCAGCTCACTGCAACCTCTGCCTCCCAGGTTCAAGCAATTCTCCTGCCTTAGTCTCCTTTGTAGCTGGGATTATAGGCACCTGCCACCGCACCCAGCTAATTCTTTTTTTTTTTTTTTAGCAGATAGGGGTTTCAACATCTTGGCCAGGCTGGTCTCAAACTCCCGACCTCATCCGCCTAGGCCTCCCAAAGTGGCGGGATTACAGGTGTGAGCCACCACATCTGGCTCTAATATACTTTTTCTTCCCCCCTCCCCACCCATGCCAAGAGACAGAGTCTTGCTCTGTCACCCAGGCTGGAGTGCAGCGGCACTATCTTGGCTCATTGCAACCTCTGCATCTCCAGTTCAAGCAATTCCCCTGCCTCAGCCTCCCAAGTAGCTGGGATTACAGACGCACGCCACCATGCCTGGCTAATTTTTTACTTTTAGTAGAGACGGGGGTTTCACCATGTTGGCCAGGCTGGTCTTGAACTCCTGACCTTGTGATCTGCCTGCCTCAGCCTCCCAAAGTGCTGGGGTTACAGGCGTGAGCCACTGCGCTCAGCCCCAATACACTTTTTCTTTTATTCTATTCCTATTTGTCCTTCTCAGAAAACATGCACTTCCACTTTCTCCTGCATGAAGAAAAATTTTGTTCTCAAAACCCTACAAAAAGGACCAGATGTAGTGGGAAGTGTAGCATGACAATTAAACAGCAGAGAGAAGTCAAGTTATATCTGTTCTCAAAAGCTAAGACAAGCCCTGTTACCAAGAAATTTCCTAGATATTCACCATATTAGACTTTGACTCAAGTAAAACCAACCAGGACGCTATAACCAACACTGATAAAGTAGCAATTATCTGCAGGCTTAAGTCTTGTTGACCTGAGAAGTGCTTAAGTAAACCAATAATATTGAATATCCATAACTGAATGCCTAGACTACTGATTCTCTTTCTAGTAGTATAATGTAGTAAAAGAAAATAATTTACATTTAATGAAAAGTAAATATAAATAAGTATAATTTCAAGTTATTGCTCTATTGTAGTTTTTCTTATAAAGGGACTTCTTTATTCCTTGCACGATAAAGTGGTATGCTTCATCCTTCATATTCTAGAACACAATGGTCCTTTTTATTGCCCCTAATCAAATTCTATGGCAAAAGATACAAAGTCCTTACTCCCAACTCTGGAACTCCCTTTCTTGTGTCAAAGACCAAGATGGCCAGAGAGTATCTAATTTCACTAAAATCTATTTTGAGCAATAAATGAAAAAAGAGAATCATTGAAAGCACTCTATAAGGTAACTTTTAGATGACAAGGATCATGGTGTCAGTCTTATCTCACAAGCATTTGTGAAGTGCTAAGAAAGTCAAGAGATTTTTTTTTTTACATTTAGTTAGCAGTGAGTGGCAAGAGCTACACGGTTGCTCCAGATGGTTAGTGTCTAAAATGGCCAAGACCAGACAAGTGCTTTACTTTATGTGCTGAAACTTTATTTTAGTAAATTCTACTCTACTTTTACCATCTGGAGCAACACGATGTACACTCTTTCATTCACACAGCAGCATTTTTCCATTTTTAAAAAATGTATAATACTAAATACATGTTTGTTTTTACACTGGTATAAAAAGGGAAGGGGGAACTTTAAACATTTTCAGAGATAACACAAGTTAGCTAATATCCTGCTCCTAAGCCTGGGCAACATGGTGAAACCCTGTTTCTACAAAAAATTAAAAAGTTATTCACTAGGTGTGGTGGCATGTGCCTGTAGTCCCAGGAACGGAGGAGGCTATGATGGGAGGTTTGTTTGAGCCCAGGAAGTCAAGGTTGCAGTAAGCTGAGGCTACAGTGAGCCACTATCATGCCACTGCACTCCAGCCTGGGTGATGGAGCAAGACGCCGTCTCAAAAAAAAAAAATAAAAAATAAAAAAAAAATAATAATATCCTGTCCTAGATCTTTTCTCACTTGATATACTTGGAGTATCCTTCCATATCATTGCAAAAAAAAACCCAAAAAAACTCATTTCTTTTACAGCTACATCAGTTTAATGTATAGTTGTATTATAATTTTCTTAACCTATTTCTCACTGATGAATATTTGGTTAAGCTTCAATGGTTTATTATACTAAGCAATGTGTCTCAGTACATTTTTGTTGAATAAAATTCCTTAAAGTGTAACTAATGGATTAAAAGATATGTACACATTTAATCATTAGCAGATATAACCGAACTAATCCTCCAGAAGAAAATACAACTTTAAGTGCTCATTTTTGCCAATCCAAGAAGAAACAAACAAAAAGGGTCTAGTTGATTTTTAAATTTACATTTCCTTAATAAAAGGACCATTTGTTTTGCTTTCATCTGTGAATTACATATTCATGTCTTCTGCTGTCTTTTTCTGTCATGCTATTGATCTACTGTATTTCTATTACATTTGTCTTATAAATTTGTCTTAAAGATAATGATGAGGATAATTTACTACATCTTATAAACTATGCTCTAAAACCCATTAGTTATCAAATACTAAGGACAAATTATCTAGCTATTAATTGTGCTTTTAAAATAAAAAAGCAGAGGCCAGGTGCAGTGGCTCACATCTGTAATCCCAGCACTTTGGGAGGCCAAGGTGGGAGTATTGCATGAACCCAGGAGTTCAAGACCAGTCCTGGCAACATGGCAAGACCTCAATTCTACCGAAAATTTTAAAAAAATTAGCTGGGCGTGGTGATGTGCACCTGTAATCCCAGCTACTCAGGAGGCTGAGGTGGGAGGATCACTTGAGCACAGGAGTTCAAGGCTGCAGTGAGCCATGGTGGCACCACTGCACTCCAGCCTGGGTGACAGAGTGAGATGCTGTCTCAAAACAAACTATACAAACAAAAAAAGCAGAATAATTAACTCAGCAAATATAATTTAAGAGTGAGGAATCTCACTATATTTCCCAGGCTGGTCTCAACTTCTGAGCTCAAGGGATCCTTCCACTTCAACCTTCCAAGTAACTGGGATTATAGAACTACACCATTGTGCCCAGCTAGCAAATATAATTTTAGACTGCAAAGAAGTATTTTAAGTATGTTTTAGGACATGCTGTATTGTATTTGCCTTGGAATACCCTAAATTTAATCAAGGTTTTCTAAAAGTAAAAGATTTCTTAGAATCACAGAATTTCAAATACTCAAACACTACTAAATATCTTTACTAAGTAAAACCTTTAAGGCTAATAGGATGCAAGAGAACAACAACAAAAAGTCTATATATGTAAATTCTGGTCATTTGAACTATTCTACCTTTAAGAAATTAACAAATCCCTAAAGTGGATAGGAAGATCGGCAGAAAATTCAAAGGTGTTCTGTCTACAGGGTATACACAATTCAGTTTCCACTTAAAAACTCAATTACCTTAACAGAAGTTAACAGATTTGGCTGTTGCTGAGGAAATTAAATTATATAGTGACATCCCACAAGCCTTGCTGTAGGTTGGATTCCAAAGTCAACTGTAGATTATCACC